TACTGCGAGCTGTTTTCAGGAAAACTTGCCGCTTTGGGACAAGTGATTCAGACCCTGGATCTGTGTCTGGAGCCAAACAGGAGTGTCTGGCTCAGCAAGACAGGGTGCTGGAGTTCTGAGCTGGCAGGGAAAACAGAAGCAGGGGTAGTCTTTGCACATCGGGTGGCAGCTCCCAAGGGGGTTTCTGTGATCCAACCCGTCAGTCTACGGGGTGAAGCAGAGTTCTGGTTACTTGCACTGAAATAAGAAAACAAAGGTCATTTGGGGGGCTAGTGATCCCAGTGGCCCTCTAGCTATGATTTCTGACTTTCCCATTGTCACCTGTGCTGGTCAAACAGCCCGGTATGTCGGTGAGCAGAGTGGAAAGAGAGCAGGCAGTCTGATCTGTGAGCCCCTGGGATGGGCTCAGCTCTCAATGTGTAAATGTTAGGGGAATCGGTTAGGGGGAAACGTTAGGGGAATCGGTTTCTCCTTTATTCACCTGCTGAGAGCACAATCCAGATGTCAGTGGCATCGCCGGTACCGACAGCCCTGGGCGGCTGTGGTTAGTGATATCATTGAGCGTTGTGAGGGAAGTGGCGAATCCTGAACTCAGGTCTTGGCTGGCAAGTGGAAGGGGACCAGAATTTCCAGGGTCTTGTGTTGAATCCCCAGCCTGAAGTCCTAAGAATACCTGTACTGGGTCAGACCAGTGGTCCATCTAGCCCAGTGTCCTGTCTTCTGACAGCGGCCAGTGCCAGGTGCTTCAGAGGGATTAAACAGAACAGGACAATTTATCGAGTGATCTAAACCCTGTCGTCCAATCCCAGCTTCTGGCAGTCAGAGACTTAGGGACACCCAGAGCAGGGGATTGCATCCCTGACCATCGTGGTTAATAGCCATGGATGGACTTGTCCTCCATGAACTTGTCTACTTCTTTTCTGAACCCTGTTATACTTTTGACCTTCACAACATCCCCCGGCCACAAGCTCCACAGGTTGCCTGTGTGTTGTTTGAAGCAATACTTCCTTCTGTCTGCCCAGCAGCCCCTCTCGTCGGATGGTCACCAATCCCGACCGCTCAGCTTTGATAACTGGCATGTTCCACTGCTGGCCGAATCCAGCTGCCAGCACCAGGCTCTGCCTTCCCACAAGTGTGGGCTGGAGAATTCAACGTCCGCTGCTCTGGTATCGGTGCCGTTTCCTTGGCTGCACTAGAGGGCGCCATCCCCTTTTGTTTCAGCGCAGAGCCAGAGAATTCGTATTTTAAAGGCCAGGAGGACCCACTGTGATCATGTAGTCTGGCCTCTCCCCCAGGCAGGAGTATATCCCCTGGGGATTCCAGCACCCAGCCCAGGAACAGGTGGTGTAGCTAGAGAGTATTACTGGAAGGATTTAATGACTCCAAGGGCCAAGTATTCCCACAGCCCTAGGGGAGGCATTCCAGTGAGTAATCGCCCTCCCCTGAAAACGCACAGCAGTGTAGCAATTGCACCCAGGGTTGGGATCACATGGGAGCTCTGTTTCCTGTTGTGCATTAGGAGAACAGGCTCCTTCTGCCCCTTGCCCCAAGGA